GAAAGAAGGAAAGAAAGAAAGAAAGAATGGAGGAAAGAGAGAAAGAAGGAGAGAAAGAAAGAAAGAAAGAAAGAAAGAAAGAAGGAAAGAAAGAAAGAAGGAAGGAAAGAAAAAAAGAAAGAAGGAAAGAAGGAAAGAAAGAAAGAAGGAAAGACGGAAGGAAAGAAAGAAACAATCAAAGAAAGAAGGAAAGAAGGAAAGAAATAAAGAAAGAAAGAATGAAAGAAAGAAAGAAGGAAAGAAGGAAAGAAGGAAAGAAAGAGAGAAAGAAGGAATGAAATAAGGGAAGAAAGGAAGAAAGAAAGAAAGAAAGGAAGGAATGAAGGAAGAAAGAAAGAAAGAAAGAAAGAAAGGAAGGAAGTAAGAAAGAAGGGAAGAAAGAAAGAAAGAAAGAAACAAAGAAAGAAAGAAAGAAAGGAAGGAAGGAAGAAGGAAGGAAAGAAAGTAAGAAAGAAGGAAAGAAGGAAAGAAAGAAAGAAAGAAAGAAAGCAAGGAAGGAAGGAAGAAAGAAACAAACAAAGAAAGAAAGAAAGGAAGGAAGGAAGAAGGAAGAAAAGAAAGAAACCGCCGCCGCCGCCCGCCCTGGCTTGGCCCTGCGCGGCTGGCTCCGGACGGGCGAGGGCTCTGCGCCACAAGCCCCGGGCGAACTGCAGGAGCCAGGCCGAGACGGTCAGCAGCGAGGCGGCGAAAAGCAGCACCAGCGCCGCCCAGCCCAGGCTCAGCCGCGGCTCGGGATCCGGCTCCGGTTCGGAATCCAGCTCCATGGCGCGCAGCGGCGGCTCACCGGGCGCCGGGCTGCATCGCGCTCCCTCCCGGACAGCTCAGGCCGGGCGAGGCAGCCGAAGCCAGTTCGGGAGCTAGCTAGCCGGCCTGCCTGCCTGCCTGCCCGCCCGTCTGCCTCTTTTCTTCCGCCTTCCTCCAAGTGCCGGCTTGCCGCGACCGGGGAGCCGAGCGGCGCTCTCCTTCCCTTCCTTCCTTCCTTCCTTTCCTCCCTCCCTCCCGAGGGCCGTCGCGAGCGGGGCTGGGCGGAGCGGCAGCGGGGCAGGACTAAGCGGGAGCTCGCCCTCGCCGCCCCCGAGGGGTCGGCCGGGGGCGCCGGGCATGACCACTGGGCCGCACAGCCGAGCGACTGCGCCGGGCTGGCGGAGGGGACTCTGTGACCCAGCGCCGGGCTCGGGCGGAGGCCTCGGCAGCGAGGGCGCACCGGGAGCAGCGCCAGCCTGGCTTCCTTTGCCGGAGACTACCGGTGACGGAGCTGCCTCCCGCGGAGACCCGCGTGGGTGGCAGCGGCGGGATCGCTTCGCGCGCCCAGCCCCGCGCCGAGCTTGTAAAGTAGTGGCTTCAGACGTGGAGATCCAACGAAAGATCTTCACCCGGAGCTCCCAATCCAGTACAGAGCGGACTCCGTGCCAAGCCCGGCTGCCCGCCTTCGGAAGGGCAGCGCCTGGGCGGCTCCTCGGGCGGCAGGGGCAGCGGGCCGGCGCCTTGAGGGGCTCCCCCCTTCCTCGCCTACGGGGTTATTGGGAGCTTCTTGGCCCACGAGACTCCCCCCGCCACGGGGCGCCCCCGCCGCTGAGCTTGGCAGGGTTCCTTCTCGGTGCCCTCATCTCTCCCTGTTCGGGTCCCTCTGCAGGGCTCTGGCCGTTGCTTGGTTATTTATTTCATGCTTGCATTTGCACCCCGCCTTTCTCCAAAAAGAGAGCGCTCAAGGCGGATTACGGGATTGTGCTCGGAAAGAGAGGAGCTGAGCCGAGCTCCGCTCACCGGGCGCCCTTCCCTTCGGTCTAAGAACATCATTTGACAGCCGAGGCGGGAGACCTGGGTCCCTGCGAGACGCTGTTGAACTACAAGCCCCATCATTCCATCATGATGGGAACTGGAGTCTACCAATCTCTCTCTGTCCTTTTCCCTGCCGCGCCTTGCTGTCCAGGGATCCGTCCATCTCCCCAAAACGCCGCGGTCCCTTTAAATGGCCCCGCCCACTCCTGGAGTTCCTCGTTGGACCCATAGAGGGCAAAGGGACATCTAAGGAAAAAGGAGTCACGTGGCTCCGAGGGCGCCATCTTTCTTATGGGCGTCCCTAACGTTACTCCTTACACGGGACTTTACAGAACCTGTGCACCTTTCATATCTGCCACGAGGCCTCCGTCGGCCGCGATCCCCAGATCTTCCTGATCGTAGCGTATTGTAAAGGAGCCTGGCCGCAGGGCGGGCGAGCGGGCGCGCCAGCCAGCAAGAAATATGGCGGCAGCGGCTACACGGCCCACCGGATGCATTTTGGGGATGCACTGGGGCGGACGGGCGGTGGAGAAAGGCAGCGGTGTCACACCCTGAACCGTCCGGCCGGAAACGTCCTCCGGAGGCGCAAGGCAGGGACGGGCCGGGGGCTGCTTCC